TTTTCCTTTCAGTTCTGACTTATTTCTCATGTAAGTATGCGGAGGACCTCTTCTTAAACTGGCCAATACAAACTCTCTTGTTTCCACAATATAAAATCCAATTTTATCCATTGAAAGGATGCTTCTGGATTTTGGGAAGTCCAAGTCTTCATTATTTCCTCTTTTTCCTCCACTTTGTAAAGGCGTCACTTCACAGCCCACCTTGACTCAGCCCGTCTCCCAGTCTGGATCTCTAGCAGGAACAGTTAAAATCACCTGTGCCATCAGCAGCAATCCAAACTATATTTACTGGCTCCAGCAGAAATCTGGAGAAGCCCCTCGCTTTGTGCATTGTGATGGCTGCAGCAGGGGACCAGGGATCCCAGACCGATTCACGGGAACCCGGTCAGGCAACAACGGCTACTTAACCATCACCAACCTTCAGGCTGAAGACGAGGCTGATTATTACTGTTACATGTTGTATAGCAGTGGTAGCGTGTTCCACAGTGAGACAATCGAATGGGGAACTGAGACAAAAACTTGCACCTTCGCAGAGAAGAATCCTCAGACCCTTGATGTGCTCAGTCTGAACTGGGTCTGATGCAAATGGAATGAAGCAGTTGGAAGGAATTGATGATCTTTTATCAGACGAGAACCAAGATTCAGTTGGACCCCCATTTTTTCTTCTTCCTTTACACACACACATACACACACACCTGACTTATATGCGTTCTGGCTGGGGGGTCTGATTTTATTTCTTTTTTAAAAAAAAATTTTTTTTCCTTGAAAGAACACATGAAATGAAGCCAAAGTTTCAAAGTGCCCCATCTTTGGCTTGTGCAAATTGTATATTTTTAGTTCAATCAGGAATACAAGCATTGTAGGGCCAGGTTGCCATTCAAATTACATTATGCTTTTTTAAAAAAAAAATAAAAAATACTGAAGACCTTTTTTTTTTAAGGCACCCATGATACTACTGCTTTATTGTAATGCAAAATCCAAATATTATTTTATTTTTTAATTGAAAAACACCAAAATTCGAAAGCATCAATAATCTTCCTGTCCACCTTCTTTAATGTCCAATCTTCATATTCATTATTTATTACTGCTTATTTTTGTTACTTTCAGAAATGCCTAAGGCTTGTCTGCTGTCTAGCTAGGGATACTTTTCACCCCAATGTTTGACTGGGTAGATGAAGTCAAAGGGCTGATTTTCCCAATCTCAAGTCAAATAGAGTCGAAGTACTGAATATCTGCCCAGCCGTAATAAAGAAAAAACATTTATAGCCCTGATTAATGTAGACACCAGAGGGCACACCCCTCAAACTAATGAGATGCAGAGTACTATTGCAACCCTGGGTCTTACATAAGAAATCCTGGTCAAGCATATCTACCCAACAGTCTGTGAAGTTCTAACACCTGCATCCTTTGGAAGTCTTCAACAGAGAGGAAACAAAAACCTGAATAAATATAATGTATATAATGAATGCCCGAATTATACATTAGTTCTTAAGACGACTTCTTCTTCTTCTTCTTCTTCTTCTTCTTCTTCTTCTTCTTCTTCTTCTTCTTCTTCTTCTTCTTCTTCTTCTTCTTCTTCTTCTTCTTCTTCTTCTTCTTCTTCTTCTTCTTCTTCTCCTTCTCCTTCTCCTTCTCCTTCTCCTTCTCCTTCTTCTATCATTTCCTGCATTCAACCTGCAACACGATTAACTCGCTCCTCTCCAAAATATGCTGACCCACAATCTCCCATCATCCCCAGCCGATGTGGCTGCTCTGGGTCCCCCTTCCCCTTGCCAAATTTCCAAAGATATGCATTTTGTAACAAAAGCCATTGGTTCTCGGTTGGGAGCACAAAGGGATAGGGCCTTTTCTGCATATACTACCTGTACCTGTAGCACCCTAAAGTTATGAATGAACTCCCATCTGGATGACAACTTGAGACAAGCTTTGGGGTTGTATTTTAGCAACATCTGCTCAGCTGTAAGCTCCTCCTCTCAAAGAATTGGGATCCTCCCTTGATTTTGTAGCTTCTGCAAGAATGGAGGAGGGAAGGGGAGGTGGTGCTTTCTAAGGAGCTCATAATTTGAATATGAGCTTGGATCAGAGGTTCCACAAGGTTTAAGAAGCAAAGAGAAGGTCTGAACTAGAGGAGATCCTGAGCTTTAAGAAACTGTGTTGTTTTTTTTCTGGATGCCCATAATGATCTGGCTATCACTCTTCTTCGTGGCCTTCAACATTTGCTCAGGTACTGCAAAAGAAGATCTCTTTCTCCTCCAGTGGAACCTTACTTGGTTCTCAATCCCATCTTTCTCTCTGCAGGTTCTCCCTTGGTGAACCAGCCCCAATCAACCTCCGTGCCTCTGGGACAAAATATCCAGATCACTTGCACGGGGAATAACATGCACACCAATCAACAGCAATGGCTTCAACAACAGCCAGGCAAGACACCCAAGCTCATTATTTACAGTGGAGCTACCAGGCCAGCCGGAATCTCAGAACGATATTCAGGCTCCGTAACGGGGAACATGGCTGTGTTAAGCATTGCCAAGGCCCAGGCTGAGGATGAGGCAGTTTACTTTTGTCTCTTATGGTGGGATAGCACGTACCACTGGCCACAGTGAAACAGGCCGAGGAGGAAGTGAGACAAAAACAGAGTGAAACGGAGGGACTACCCATTAACTAACGTAGTGCACAGTTAGAGGGAAGGACCACAAAGGATAGATGGGTACCAAACTGGGTATAATTGATTACGTGCCGTCAAGTTGACGTTGACGTTAATGACCACCTAAATAGACATTTTCCAACATTATGTATCTTCAAGTTGGTTCTTCAGCTCTTCCAATGCTTGACCCATTGCCAATGTAAGAGTTGATGTTGGTCATCCTCTTCTCCTCTTTTCTTCTACCTTTCCTAGCATTGTTGACATCTCCAGAGAGTTAGGTCATTGCGTAATGTTGATTTAGGGACAATTGATGCCCAGCCCAAAAAAATTCAGTGTGAAAACAGGATTCTTACAGTAAAACTTTGTTATTTTTCAGGAGATCTGCTGCATTGTAGTGATTGATGTGTGCTGCCTTGGCGTAATTGCTTCCAGAGAACTAAGTGGGAATTGTGCAAACATACAACATAGAATGATTGTACACAGAGAATCATAGAATTATAGGGCTAGAAGGGACCCTGGAGGCCTTTTAGTCCAACTCTCTGCCCAAGGCAGGAGTCCTTATACCTTATATCATTCTGGATAAATGGCTGTCCAGTCTCTTCTTGAAAACCTCCAGTGATGGAGTATCCACAACTCTGGAGGCAAGCTATTCCATTGATTAATTGTTCTCACTGTCAAAAAAAAGTCCTCCTTAGTTAGACTTGTATACCACTTCATAGTACTTTGCTAAGTAGTTTACAGAGTCAGCACATTGCCCCCAACAATCCGGGTCCTCATTTTACCAACCTCGGAAGGATGGAAGGCTGAGTCAACCTTGAGCTGGTCAGGATCGAACTGCTGGCAGTGAGCAGACTTAGACTAAAGTGCTCTCTTCTACTATTACATTTTCTACTTCAAAGCAAATGCTTTGCATCTGTGGGTTGGCCACAAAACCTGTGACCTTTAAAAGGGAAGAGTTGAAGAGAGTTTGATGACCTTTTTTTTTTGCCCTCAGAAGGAAAGTGCATCAGAGTTTGCATCATGTTCTGGGCTCCCTTCCTTCTCTCGTTGTTCGTGCACTCCTCAGGTGCTGTTCAAGAAGAGAAGTTGTTGGTTAGATGTTTCATCGAGTGAAAATGCTGTTTTACCCAAGACATTTTTTAATTTCTTTGTTTGTTTCTTTGCATAGGATCCTTTGCTCAGTATGTCCTGACTCAGCCGTCATCCGTGTCTGTCTCCCTGGGACAGAATGAAAGGATCACTTGTTCAGGAAGTGACATTGGAGAAAAGAATGTTCACTGGTACCAGCAGAAACCTGGGAATCCTCCTATTCTGATTATATATGATGATAGCAGCAGGCCTACAGGGATCTCAGATCGATTCTCGGGCACCAACTCTGGCAACACGGCCACCCTAAGCATCTCCAGGGCCCAGGCTCAGGATGAGGCCGACTACTACTGCCAGGTGTGGGACAGTGATTATGATCAGTGCACAGTAATACAAACTAAGGGGGAAGTGCGACAAAAACCTGCTTCTGAGGCGTTCAACCTTCTGGGCTGGCTTGGAGAAGCTCAACCATACAAAAAAAAA